TAGTTTGCCATGTGTACTGTTTTATATACCTCAAAATGTAAAATCTAGCTCTACCATATCTGAGGGTCTCCCTATTCATTCTAGTGTCAGACACTGTTTATCTGTTCTAACTTAATGCCCAGTCATCTCAAATCCCAAAATGTTGCTGCAAGAGGAATAAATAGATCATTTATTTATTGATATTAGCTATGTGCCACTCTTTATTAAAGGTAACAGGATGATTCCCAACTGTTTAGTATAATTCCAGTGACATTGTTAAATGTGAAGCTAAAAACATAGTATTGCATAATAAGTGAAAGAACCTAGAAGAAATAAAACCCGGTGCCTATAAAATAATAAAGTAAGCTTCCATTAGGAATGGGATTCCTCAGCCAATGTACCAGAGCCAAAAGGCCTTAAGCAAGGATCTCTAGCATAGTTATGCTGCATTCCTCCTCTGTTCTATAACCTGCAGCAAAGTTAAATAATCCAGTGAGTTGGACAAGTTACTGACAACTAATTTTAGAATGCTAGATGGGAATATTATTAGCATTGCATTTGGAAAGGTTCCATATTGTTACAAAAGAATAATGATGTCTACTCTTTAGGTTTGTTTGACTTTGATTCTCAGATGTTTATGTATTGGCCTCCAGTAATAATACAAGTCTCTACATATATTAATGTTAGTATTAGAACAATATGCAATTGTGGTGATCCAGTAAAGTTGAAGGCAATTGATTTGTATAAGTTTACATTATATAAATAAGTATCTCAGGACATAATCTCTCCCACTCTTCTTGGGATATTCTTACTCTGTTTCTAAAAACTGTTTTGTTTTTCTGCTGTAATTTCTGTCTCCATCCTATTTTTGTTTTTCCAGATCTCTCAAGTCTTAGAACATTTGTTCTTCCTGCTATTGATTCTTTCAGCCTTGTTGCTGATTTTGAAGAACTAAAGTCAGCCGGGAGTTTAAAGCTACATCTTGAGTTAATCAGCACATGATTTTCAACTTGCTGAGGTCAAGATTCTAATTTCACGTGGATTACAGTGGCAACAAAATCTATATAATTGATCTGTAGTCTGGTTGCTTTGTCTTATAGGTTCCTGCAGCACATCCTTATGCTATCTGATTAAACAGCTGATCCTATTTAATTCAGCAGCAGGACATGAGTTTTGATAATTGTGAAACACAACTCTCCAAAACCATTTATAAGCCTCTTTGTTATACTGTGCTGAATAAGGAATGTAACACTTTTAAATATGGACTTTCAAATTTCTCAGAAATATGACTTTGTAGACTCTTGGTCTCAATTTTATATATCATGCTGTGTGTTGATTTGTTTACAATTTCTACTAAAACTACTTATCCCAATCTTCCTATATTGAAAAATACAATGCAATAAAAAGCTTAGTTTAAATAGCAAAATGAGAAGGAAAGACAGTCAGATAAAATAGGCTATTGAACAATGAAAGTATATTGAAAGGCAGAAGAATGGCTAGTTCATAAATCAGATATGGTGGAAAGAGGAAGACTTTCACCATTCTGCAAAAAGCGAACAATTGGGGAAGAACACATCTCAGAACAAAATTTCCCCTATCAAACTAGGTATGTGGGCAAGTCTGAAGAAGCCTTTTAGATTTTTTCAGTGTAACAGATTGTCACTGGTGAGCTACACTTGTTGTATCAGATTGTTCATAGGTGCTGGGACAGCTAAATAGCAGAAAAAATGCTTTTTTATAAAGAAATTATAAATTATTGAGAACTAATCCTTCAATAAGATAAGGGATCTTGGGAAATATGGAATTGAATCTGATGTAATAATTCAGTAGATCACGCAATTAAGTAAACAGTGTATCATTATAGTGAGGGATCACTACAGATCAATAGAGACTTACATGGAAATTGGTGGTATACAAATTTAATAATATTAATAGATAAGAATGTACCATAAAAATGCCTATATGTATAAGACTATGCTATGTAAGACTATGCATTAGCTTTTTGCAGAGAGAGATTGTTTTGTGGACCAGTCTCACACAGGAGTCTTTTATCTGATATTATGTAGTTCAGATTTACCACCTAAATGAAAATTATAGCTTGCAGCCTGTTGAAGAGTTATGGAGATGTCATAGATTTTTCTCCCTCTTTTGTATCATTAGGGTTACAGTAACATTCAACTCATATTGCACAAGTTTATCCTTAAGTCATTTTTGGAATTATTTGTTGAATGAAAGGCAACACAAACTATGAAATAATACTAGGAGAAAACAATCTCATCATGTACTACTACCTCTCCACTAGACTTTGCAGTCTAAAAAGCAAGATGTGGACAGGATCAGCCCACGATATTTCACTACTTGAAACAGTAAGTGATAATTTCCTTTCAATGAATGAATATAGACAATTCATATTATTTTTGTATGCAGGAAAAATAATTACATAAACCTTTTCTTGGAAATAAAAGTATCACAAGATCAACAATAAATTAAAAAGCAGGTTTATTCTGCCATTTATCTCCTTATAACTTCTATGGCATTTTGATTGAACTACTTTTCTATATCAATCTGTGCCAGTCTGATATCCTCCAGAAATGAATGAATAGGGAATTGAAATCTCAAGACACCTAGTGATTCAGTCATATAATTGTACATGATACATGGCTAATTTTATTCACTTTTAATTTTCTCTTCTTTTAGCATGGGTGCTATCATATTTAGGGGTAGGAAAGGTTAATTAGGGCAGTTAAGCCAAATGTGTCAGGTATATTATAGCATCAAATGCAAGTTCCAGCTGATTCTATAATTAAATAACCATTTCTACCTTATTCAGTAAAATATTAATTTATTAAAGATTAAAATTAGATGTTTGAATATTGTACAAATCCTATGAACAGTTTATATATACTGTCTTATAGCCTGAGTAATCACAGGTAAAACTATTTCCAAATCTAAACAGTACCTTTAGAAACTCTAGTAAACACTTCCCACATTTAATGAGGGCTAGTATATTTGATAGCTCTGATTTGAAGTATGATTATAAGAATTGATCACAGGACAAGTAAATTCAAAGTTTTCACTAGAGTCACAAATTACCAGATTCAAATTAATCATATTTTTGACAATTATGTGAAGACTTAGCTCTTTTGAGAAGTCTATGAGGCTGAGAAAAAGAGAAAGTATTGGAAGTTCTTGAGTTACAACCATTTGTTTAATGAAGGTTTGAAGTTGCAATACTACTGAAAAAGTGACTTACAACCTATTCTCAAAGTTAATGACTGTCGTACCATCCTCACAGTCATGTGATCACAAATCAGGCACTTGGGAATTGGCGCATGTTTATAATGGTTGCAGGGTCCTGTGGTTACAATTTGTGATCTTCCCAGCTGGTGGGGGCAATCAAAGACAATCAAGATGTGAGCAGAGAAAGTTGAAAATTGAGCTCATGTGATGTCTCACTTAATGAATATGCAACTTCATAACAAATTTTCCAGACCCAGTTATTTATGCAGTTGACACCTATTTCATGCCACATCATCATCACCATCGTCATCATCATCACCACCACCACCAGAATTGGATTGTAACAATCCAGAGGAACTGTAGATGGCAGCAAAGAGGCATAGAAAACTCTTTGTTCATCTAAAAGTGTTCCAGATTTTGTAGTCTATATTTATAGTCCTAATTTAAGGTCTGAAATCATGGTTAGGAAGACATAATGCATATGTTTATATATGTGTGTGCGCATATGTTACATAGCACACTAAGACACAATTGGATTTTTTTTACAGTATGTTAAATCATACATTATTGCTTGTTATAGATGTTATATGACACATAATCAGGGCATCATCTATACTCAAAACTTATTTTTGTGCATTTCTACATATTCATTACAAGACTACATTTTGCCAGTTTAAAATGATTTTCCCAGATTCTCCCCTGCCCCGTTCAAACAAAGGGGGATTCTGAGGCAATTTTAGCTGTCTCTACAGGTAGTCCTCAACTTAAGACCATAATTGAACCCAAAATTTCTGTTGCTAAACAAGACCATTGTTAAGCAAATTTTGCCCTCTTTATGATCTTTCTTGCCATAATTGTTAAGTTAGTAACAGGTTAAGTGAATCTGGCTTCTCCATTGACTTTGCTTGTTAGCAGGTCTCCAAAGGTGATCACATGACCCTGGGAGACTGCAAACGTCATACATGAGTCAGTTGCCAAGCGACTGAATTTTGATTGCATGACCATGGAGATGCTGCAATGGTCCTAAGTGGGAAAAGTGGTCATAAGACACTTTTTTTCAGTGTCAGTGTAACTTTGAACGGTCTCTAAACAAACTGTATAAATAAAGTTTTTTTCCTTAGAGATGAAAAGTTCCCCTCAAACCCTTTCTCCTCAACCTTACAAAATTGTAAGCTTGCCTTGAAATGATCCATTTACCTGGGAGAAAAACTAAAACAAAATAGAATAATCACCCCTAAAAGTACCATCACAACAAGCAAGATAATGGGCCAGAGGAGGCAAGCCTTCTGGTTTCCTTTTCTGCTTGGCCAGCATAGAAGCCTTGGACTGAAAGAGGACGAATAGGATCGATACCAAGTGATGCAGGCTGATACCAGCTGAACTGAAATTTCGCCGGATTTTTGTGGCATGTCCCCATTTTTATTAAAACTCCTCTTAGCAGCCCAGTCCGAACTATGCCGGGCGAGAGGCGTCGTGGGCTTTCTGCTCATGCTCAGAGACACTCTCACGCATTCACGACTAAGCCGAGCGCGTGGAAAGACTGGGAACGGGCCAGAATTTTACTTCCTTTTTAAACTTCCCAGAGCGCGTTTGATTTATGAAATGATTTATTTGACAACACAGACCGCTCTTCATAAGACAAGCCAGGGAGTAGAAATCCGCCCGGGTCCGGAAGAAGGAAGATGATAGAAAAGCTCGTCAGTGGCTCATTCGAGACGAGGTTGGTATAACGCTGTAAAAATCCTCGGTGATTTAGAGAGGGTTTTCCCCCCTCCTCGTTTCTTTCTTTCACCCATCCCCCTCCGCCAGCAGTGGGAGAGAGAAATCCTTTTGATCTGCAGTTGCTTTGCTCCCGCGAGTGCGTCTCTCTGCCTTCAGATCAAGCACCGAAAAGTTTTTTTTTAAAAAAAGTGTTAACAGGTCACGGTATCTGCAAGCTGGTTTCTCTCGCTTCCCTCTCTCTCTCTCTCCTCTTCCTTCTTAATACTCTTTTCTGAACACAATCCCCTTTCTCATGCCCCTCCCCTTTCCTCCTCGCCCGGCAAAGGGGCTGTTGGGTCTGGAACTCGCTCGGGAGTTTGCATTGATCCATTGATTGCACATGGTCTCTTGCCTGACCTCCTTGCTCCCAGGGAAGCGGTCTCCATGGCTACTGGCCCTACTCCCCCAGTGGCAGACTGTAAATTCCTGCAGGCAGAGCTGAACAGAGCCCGGACGGGTGGGAGGGAGTGAAGAAGGAGCAGGCGAAGCAAAGGCAAATAGAAAGAAAGAGAGAAAAGAAAAAGGGCGTTGCTTGGATGGACCTTTACAGGTCTTCAGCATTGGACCACGGCCCTTAAAAAAAAAAAAAAAATCTGCCTCTCTAACAAAAACTACCGCTGGCTACGTTTCTTCTTGAATAAAAGAGGCAACTGAAAGGAGGGCGATCAGGTCCGCTCAACGATTTTCCTCCCTCCTTTCCTGTGTTAGTAGCATCAGAGAAACTAGACGAAACCCCTATAGCAATTTGGCTATCCTTTCTCCAGGAGCCGCTTTCATACACCGTCAGAAAAACAGTTCCTTTGTTTTTTTTTTGGGGGGGGGAGGTTGTTTTGTTTTGTTAAAATCTGCGTGCGGTCTGTGCGTGCCTTCAAAGCATCAGAGAAAACTTCCCGGTTCTTGGCACAGCCTTCTGCATCGACAGGAATGGGAGTCTTGGAGATCCTTGGATTGTGCCTGGCTCTCTCCTTTGGCAACACTGTGGCTAAAGCTAGTCAAGGTAAGGAGAATCCCAACCCTGCCCCGACCCCCTCCTATCTAGACGGACACTGGTATTTCTCCATATATGCGCGAGCGCGCCACATTTAGGCACGGAACTTATTCCTCCACTTCTTAAATGTTGGATTCTGACCGTGAGATTAGTAAACCACATGGTGCCAGGCAAAAATATATCTTTTAACTGTTGAATGCAAATCTTTTAGTAGGTTTTTTCGAAGACTGTTATTGTTTTTAAAGAAATCTATTCTTTGAATTGCTTTTAAGCATAAGGAGGAAGAAGGAATGGTTAGGGAGTATGAATTTTCCTTCCCAGCTACAAATCAGAGGGTTGTTACTTGCAACCTCTGCTCGGATTCCTACTTTTTTGCAAGGTTAATAGTACTTTTAGAAGCAATTACTTTTAAGATTAAGATGAGGCATAAGACTTGGAGGAATGTTTTTGTGGGATAAGCGTTCACGTATAATACAACTTCAGATGTTAGATGCAAAGATTCTTGGCAAAAAATGTGTGTTTTAACTTAATTTATCTTGAAACAGCTTGGCTGATTTTCATTTAAAATCAGACATTCAAATCCAAACAATTTGTTTAGATACTTCCCCTTCCTAAAATAGAAACATGTCATATCTTAATGATACAAAGTGGACAATGTATGATACAAATGTTTTAAGGGAAATGTTTTAGCTTTATAATTTGCACTGTTTCTTTTATAAAGTGATTGGAGCTTTAAGATTATTTACTACTGCTTTAGCAGTATTCTTTTTAACAATTTAGAATCTCTTTTTTTACAATAAAAAAGTGCAAAGGGTGTTTTAGTTTTATTTCTATTTGTTTGCAAGCCCACTAAAAAGGAACTAGTTTCATGTATAGTTTTATGATTTTAGTTTAGAAAGAAATGCTTAGGTTTTGATTACAATTAGGTTCAGTGTGTACATTGCTTTCATATTCTTATCATAATATTTATTTATTAAAGCTCTTTGGTTTCAAATTCCATTAAGCTGTGGCCAGATTTATGTAAAAACAGCATAGCAAAATTCCATCCTGTAGAAACTTGACTGATACTTTGGGGGAGGGGAAGGAACCAGGGTAGATTTGGGCAAGAGTCTTGCAGGTAAAAACATCTTTCTTTGTTACATCAGTTTTCAATAGAGGGCAAGAATGACATTTCTGTGAAATTTTGCAGATCCGTTTTACCGTAGCTGGAACACTGATTTTTTAAAATACTTCACTCTCATTTTAAAAACATCCCCAGCAGTCTTTTCTAATGAAAAAATACTTCCTACTGTTTATTCCAGTTCATTATGCTTGGAAAAATCATTTATCATACATGACATGTAAATTAATGTTGGTATTTAGAATACTGATTGTTCATATTAACTTTTTGGGAAGAAAGTTTGGGACAATGATGGGGAGACTGAAGATGGTGATAATTGAAAACCAAAAAGTTTAAAATTGAGTCCTCATTTCTTAGGTGGTGATGGATGTAATTTGTATCTTGACATCTTGGAAGTTTGACAAACAGGATTAATCTTGAAAAAGCAAGATGAATGAAAAAGTAAAATGCATATTTAAAATCCAGCATCTATCATTATCTGAATAACCAAGTTCATCTAAGAAACAGTGCAATAAATGTTTAAAAGCTATAATTAGAATAGGGGTATTCTGTCATTTGAAATTACCATTTTTCCTTACTATATGCATAAATGTTGGGACCACTTTTCCTCAAAATTACAGCAAGTATGTCCAAATGGCAATATAATTTCGAGAAGTTGTGAAAGACTGGTTAAGTAAGGACTTGATAGTCTGCATCCATGCAAAATATGTTGCAGAATGCTAACCAATCATCTTTTAACAAGTGCAGAGGAAAAAAAAAATCCTTTCTCAAATATGCCAAGGCAACAATGGAGGTAGTCAAAAAATCAATATACTGAAAAACCATAGCTGACACTCAATAAACCATGATAATGAAACGTGTGTTATGACATCCCAACAAACTCCAGCCTTTCATACATATGTTCCAATAATCTGAGAGGTGCTTCTGAGCAGCAACTACCAGTATACATAAAGCCGAAATCCACCCGATACTGAGGTGTTCCCTTCTCTTTGCTGTATTCGGTTCTTCCATTTCAACAAAATCTTTTTTTTTTAAATCCATGCTTATTATATAGGAGTTCTAACAAATAAGCAGCAGAATATGAAAACAGTAATAAATAAAAATGTAGCTCTCCACCTGGTCCAGTTAACTACAATGAGTCTTGCTTTTATGAAGAGTGAGTGGGTATCATTGAGAGTACCCTATAACAGCAGGCATGGTATTTTTCAACTACATCTACTATATGTGATATTTAAGGATCAACAGCTGAAAACTGTGGGGCCAAATCTGGTCTTGCACTGGGTGCTTATTTTTCATGGTGCCTGTTCAGAACCAGAGCACCTTTAAGGAGGAGCAATGTATATAACCATCTTGTCTAATTTAAAAGATTGTGATAGAGAAATTGTTTACATCCTATTTTCATATTTTCTTTACAGGAAAATTGCCAAGTGATTAGGCATTTAAATTGCAACAATGCTCAGTCTGTCATCTAAATAATATCAGAGATAAATCAATAACTTTTGAGCCTTAATAAATGTTACCTGCATGTATGTAGTTTTCTACTTAGATTATTAAACTACTCTTTGCTCCTATTCATACTTTTTTCTTCTTTTCAATTGTGTCAGATTCTCAGAGACTGCTTGCAGTTTTCTTGACAAGGTTTTTCAGAAATGGTTTGCCATTGTCTCCTCCTTAGGGTAGAGAAAAAGTGACTTGTCCAAGATCACCCAGTTGGCTTTGTGCCTAAGGCGGGACTAGAACTTATGATCATCCGATTTGTAGCCTCTTGCTTTAATCACTACATCAAACTGGCTCTCATTCATAACTCCATTATGATTTATTTATTGGACGCTTAATTTGTAAGACAGCAACAGATTTGTCCTCCAGGCCTGTTTCAAGAGAAAGCAAGAAGAAAATGAATAAGTTGGCATTAGGGAAGTGGTAGACATAATTAATAATACAAATCCATATAAAATCTGGTTTTCATAAATAGCCAACAGGAGATGCTAACAACGTGGTAAACTGCCAGCACATTCTGTTTTCATACAAATACACTGCTCTGAATGTGGATTTATTTGGACATTCACAAATGCAGAAAATAAGAATGTCAGACTAAGGTTAGCCCAGTCATAATCTTGAGTTATGTTTAATGCTTTGTCCCATACTTTTTATGTGAACTTGGCCATTCAGTTAAGTTGCAGTTCTCAAATAAAACCTGATGGATTGTATGCATTGGAGTTTCTGCAGAATAAATTGCATGAGGAGTTTGGAACAGATCTCTTTGGAGCCAAAACCTCATCTGGAAATGAGTGCAGCAACACACACACACACACACACACACACACACACACACACACACACAGGGGAGGTGTTTTAAGATGTTTTGGCAAACTTAGAAAGAGGAAAACATATTGTTTCGAGAGTTTCTGCCACTGAAGACTCATAGAAGTTTTGCTTTTGAGGTTCCATCTCCTGCAATCTGAAAATAAATTTTCTTTAAACTCTTGGACAATATTATTTTTCTAACATACACTCTGTAAGATTTATTATTACCTATAAGCTTCCAATTTGGTCGCTATCCATTGTTTAGAAATAACTAATTCAGTTGACATTGGAAAAAAAACAGCAAGTGTTGATGTATATTAATTCATCCCTTTAACGCTCAATTAAATGCTTTTGGAAACAACTTAGAAAACTATATGCCTACTTACTTGGTTTTGCTCATAAAAGTAAGATGGATCCCAAGAGAAAAACAAACCATGTTACTTCATTTATTGCTGTGTTTATTCTAAAGCAGTGGCTAGCCCTATTAAATCCCTAGCATGTTCTGTGTCCTGGATGTTACACTATAGCAGTTTTTCTCAACCCCCAACTACTTTAAAATGTGTGGACTTCAATTCCTGGTACATGCAGTTTAAAGTTTCTGAGGCAGAGAAGCTCTTTACTATAGCAATAAGGGGGCAAGTGGGAGTGAATTGCTAATTATATAGAATTCTGGAGGGATTATACATATCTGTTTACTAGGTAATGTCTTTCTACAGTTGTGTTCCACTCATGGCAACTTTATGCACACACCTGTGTAGAATTTTATGGCACTACTCTGGTAGCAGCTTACCATTACCATTTGACAAAGTGACTAAATTAGTGGACCAGTGAAATGTTGTGGACATAGTATATTTGGATTCCAGTAAGACATTTAACAAAGTACACCACAACCTACTTCTTGGTAAGATCGAAAAATAAGGGATAGACAGCTTCACCAACAGATGGATTTGTAACTGGCTGACAAACCACACTCAATGTGTAGTCCTTAATGGAATTACATCTACATGGAGAAATAAGCAGTGAGATACCCAAAGTTCTGTCTTAAGCCCAGATTCTTCAATATCTTCATACATGATTTAGATGAAGGGGAACTCATCAGATTTGCAGACCACACCAAGTTGGCAGGAATAGCCAATACCCTAGAACATAAGCTCAAGTTCCAGAAGGATCTCAACAGACTTGAACACTGGGCCCTATCTAACAAAATGAAATTAAATGGTCAGAAAAGTGAAGTTTTACACTTAGATAAGAAAAAACAAATGTATAGGTAGAGAATAGATGGAACCTGGCTCAATAGCAGTAACCACAAGAGAGATCTTAGAGTCCTAGTGGACAAGCACTTAAATATGAGCCAGAAGTTCCCTCAAAAAAGCCAGTGCAATTCTAGGCTGCATCAACAGAGGGATAGAAGCAAGATCACATGAAGTGTTAAGTGCTGTTTTATAATGCCTCAGTTAGATCTTACTTGGAATACTGCATCCAGTTTTGGTCACCACAATATAAAAAAGAATCTGTAAAGAATGCAAAGAAGAGTAACAAAGATGATTAGGGGGCTGGAGGCTAAAACATATGAGAAACGGTTGCA